TTTAAAAATATTTGGTGTGTTTTCCCAAGATAAGAGAAATATGGTAATATGAGAACAAAATGGATGGTAGGTATTTCATTTTCAGTAATGACCTTAAATGTAATCTATTTAAATATCAGCAGGATCACTCATCAGCAGGCTTTTGTAGCGCTCCCAGATTAAGACAGACTAGGAAGAAGAAGAGGTGAACAACTACTGAGTGGTTAGTCACTGAAAATCTTAAGAATAGCAGAGGAATATTGTCTGATATAGTGCCAGAAGATGAGCTCCTCAGGTTGGAAGGCTCTGAAAATATGCCTCCTCAAAGTAGAGTTGATATTAATGACATAGATGGAGCAAAGCTTTCAGGACCTTCACTTGATGATGGGCAAAACTCAAAATGAGAAAACACAGCTGCAAACATCCATTAAGAATCAGAATGTGCAACATACAAAGTATGAATCTAGGAAAATTGGAAGTCATCGAAAATGAAATGGAGCACATATAGACTGATATCCTAGGCATTAATGAGCTTAAATGGCCTGGTATCAGCCATTTTGAATATGGGAATCACATGATTTACCCTGCTCAGAATGTCAAATTGAAGAGGAATGGCATCACATTAATTGTCAAAAAGAGCATTTCAAAATCTATCTTGAAGTATAATGCCGTCTCTGATCGGATAATATCCACACGTCTACAAGGAAGAGTCCTGGTGTGGCTCTGCAGGATAAACACTGGAGTGCAAGGTCAGCTTGAACCGCAAGGTTGGTTGTTCGAAGCTGCCAGCCACGCCTCAGAAACCTCATACAGGGTTGCTATGAGTCAGAACTGGCTCGCCAAAACTTAACACCAATAACAACAAGGAAGATCAGTTAACACCACTGCTATTCAAATCTATGTACCAACCACTATAGCTAATGATGATGAAATTCAACCAGTTTCTTCGGTATAGATTACATCTCAATGTAAAGAAAACAAAAATCCTCACCACTGGACCAATAAACAACATTCTTATCAATGGAGAAAAGATTGAAGTTGTCAAGGACTTCATTCTTTTTGGATCAACTGTTAACACTCATGGAAGCAGCAGCAGTTAAGAAATCAAACAACATATTGCATTAGGCAAATCTGCAGCACAAGACCTTTTTAAAGTGTTGAAGAGCAAAGATTTCAGCTTGAGGACTAAGGTGCACCTGACCCAAGCCATGGTATTTTCATAACCTCATATGCATGAGAAAGCTGGACAGTGAATAAGAAAGACCAAAGAAGAATTGATGCTTTTGAGTTATGGTGTTGGAGGAGAATATCGAAAGTGCCATGGGCTGCCCAAAGAACCAATAGATCCATTTTGGAAGAAGTGCAGCCACAGTGCTCCTTGGAGGCCAAGATGGCCAAACTTCGTCTCTCATACTTTGGACATATTGTCAGAAGGGACCAGTCGCTGGAGAAGGATATCATGTTTGGTAAGGTGGAGGGTCAGAGAAAAAGAGGAAGACCCCCAATAAGATGGATTGTCCAAGTGGCAGCATCGATGGACTCAAGCATGGCAACAGTAGTGAGGTTGGCCCAGGATCAGGCAGTGTTTCGTTCTGCTGTGCATAAAGTTGCTATGAGTTGGTACCGACTCGATGGCACCTAACAACAACAAACCAATTTCTTCAGTCTAAAATTGATCAAATATGTAATCAAAATGCATTGATAATTATTGTCTATTGGAATACAAAAAGAAGGATCAACAGTTGAAAAACATGACCTTGGTGATAGAAATTATGTTGGAGATACATGATAGAATTTTACAAGACTAATGACTCACTCTTTGCAAATACAGATTTAATGCATTGAAAACTAATGATGGAAGACCAGATGAGTTGTAGGATGGCATCAAGAACATAATACATGTAGAAAGCAAAAGGTGATAAAAAAGGCAAGGAAGAAAGAAAAGACTCTGAGAAGAGACCCTGAAACTTACTCTTGAATGCAGAGAAGATAAAGTGACTGGAAGAAATGATGGAGTAAAAGACCCGAACAGAGCATTTCAAGACTGTTTGAGAGGGCAAAGTATTTTAAAATGGAATGTACACAGAACTGGTGTTAGAAAATCAAAAGGAAATAGCACAAAAAACTGAAGAAAAATTCAAGTTTCAGGCTACAGTATTGAAAGATTTTATGAGCAAAATATTGAACAATGCAGGAAGCATCAAAAGAACATGGAAGGAATACATAGTCACTACCTAAAAGAATTGGCTGGCATTCAAACATTTCAAGAACTGATGATATGAAGGAAGAAGTCCAAGCTGCATGGAAGGCATTAAAAAAAGACAAAGTTCCAATAATATCAACAGCATATATTGTTGTTGTTAAGTGCTATTAAGTGAGTTCTGCCTCAAAGCAACCCTATCCAATATATGTAATATTGTTGTTGTTGTGAAGTGTCATCGAGTCGATTCTAACCCACAGCGACCCTGTATAGGGTTTCCAAGGAGCAGCTGGCAAGCTTGAACCATTGACGTTGCAGTTGAAATGGCTTTGCAGTCTGGCGCATAAACCCACAACACTGGAATCAGAATTCCTGTATCTGGAATCAGGATTCCAGATGCAGGAGTAAGCCCCAGCAAAAAACAAGCAAGCTTTGCCAGAGTGTGTCTCATATATATTAGAGGTAGGCCACACACCTGAGGAAACTTCCGTTCAATTGATTGGCTGCTTATAGCAGATCTCATTCTGGGGGATTACCACATCTTAACTGCCAAACCATTGAGAATGCTGGCCCAGTCATGTTGACACAAAACCTTAACTATCACACAAACTCATGGCATTTCCAGACCACCTGAGTGAGAGATGGAAGATGGACCATTTCCTTGGGCTGCTGTACCTTAGAAATCCAGCTTAGACGTTCTGGCAAACATTCAGCTACTAAGCATCCGGTGAAGGGTAAGTACAGCACATCCACTGGTCTAAGATGAAGCCTGAGAAGCTGCATTCCCATCAAGTTTTGCCAGTCTAGAGACCTTACTTAATGAACAAGGTGTTACATGATGATGGATGGATGGATGGATGGATGGATGGATGGATGGATGGATGGATGGATGGATGGATGACAGACCAATGAATGCTTGAGACTCAGTTCAGAGATGCCCCTCTCCACCACCACACACAGAGCAGTGCCTTGGATGAGACAGAAATAGTGCATATAACATACACACAGATTCATATACATATACAAATACACATAAGCACATACACTTTGTACATAATGCTTACAGAAACACATGTACAAACCAATTCACACAGACTCATAGAAACAGACACATATAGACACAGACACACACATGAACACAGAAGCACACATATCATATAAGCACACACTCACAAAGCATATTTGCACACATACACACTCAGACTCATACAAAGATAGAAACAAAGGCTCTAGGCACACACACACATACAGAGAGATACAAATAAACACAAACACCCACATCCACACCCACCCACACACACACACTGTTCCATGGAACTCTGCAATGAGGATGCTATGACCACAGCACTTTCCTCATTAGGGCACTCTATGACTTGAAAAGTCCCCTTCCATTTTCAGAGGTGGCTGAGGCAGGTGAATGTGATGACCAACACTCATATTCTCAGATGAAAGGGCCGAAGCACAGAGATGTGGGAACCAGGGCATGTCACACTACCTGCCTGAGCTTCATCCAGCAAATACAAAATGATATAGCAACAGGGACAACAAACAATAAAAATAACCCTCCCACCTTACATACAGGAGGAGCAAGGGCAGAGGACATGGCAATGTGGCATGCCCAGAACAGTTCAGGCCTCTGGGAAGCCCTTAAGAGAGCAATGTTTTCATCTCCTGTTTCTGGCCAGTGTGGGCTTGGAAGAGGTGCCTCATGCCACCATGCCAACAGCTGGTAGGGGTGGGGTAAAAAGGGAGGCAGAAAAAGCCAGATCTCTTTCAGACTCTGTACATAAAGCACATCTTTACTACCTGCCTCAAAGGTAGCCAGAATTTCTGGAGCCAGATGCCTAGCCCCTTAGGCCGTTTGGTTGTGTTTGGCCAGGGCAGTGTTCTAATCCAAGCTCTGGATCAGAATCTGCCTCGGTAGGTAGTGATGGCAGTACAGTCCAGCCCGTGTGAGCAGCAGGTTCAAGCATTGCTCCTACTGCCTGACTGCCTGGAAGTTTCAAGCAAGTCATGAACCTCCCTGGAGCTGTGTTTGTGGCAGAGGCTCTTTTCAAAGCCAAATCCTCACCACAGCCCAGTGAGAGAGACACTGAGTCTGTCCCAAGTGTAAGAGTGGACGCTTTTCTGGAATGCAGGTTTCTGCTGCATTCAGACTTAAAAGAAATGGGACAGAGTCTCTGGAACAAACACTGCCCTTTCCTTTTCTGTGCCAACTTTGAGTAAAAAACTGGGCTGACCTGTCTTTGAACCATCAGGGGCCCAGGGAATGTTAGAGCATAGCTGTTTGCACACCAGTATTCTCCTTGCCCTTGGGCTCCCTGCATCCCAGTCTACCTGGGTTCTGCTGGATGTGGGACTCATACCAGAGATACTGGTCTCTTGCTGGGACTCCACAGCATACCTGAGTCTTTCCAGGAAGGAATATCATCTGGAGAAGAAACCCCAGAGATTCTGCTTCTGAAATGCTCTGCTGTTTTGTTGTTGTTGTTTTATTAATATGATGTATCGTCTCTATGTGTGAAGTAAGCACACGTCTCATGTCTCATCCCCACCCCCCAAAATATTTGTGGCTTCGAAATTTGCAGAGAGGAAGCGCTTGAGGTTTGGCATATAGATCTGGAGGGAAAGAACTTTTGATCAGAATGATTCATTAAGAAACCCCCATCCACACCATAGCCGCCCCACCCCATCCTGTTGGGCAGCAGGGGTGCTCCTCCCCCTTCCGCTTCTTCATAGGCCTCTTGCTCGCACGGGATACTACAGGACACAAGCACTGCCAGACACCATTCTCCATTGGGCCGGCTCCCACACAGCCACCATGCGGTCAGCGTGGACATTGCTGGCCTGCTGCTGCCTTGTTGTGAGTGCCATGGAGAGCCCTTCCAGAGGTAAGGAGCTGTTTGCCTGCTTAGGTGTTCTCTGCGTTTGCACCCTCTGATCTTGTCTACTGCACTCAGCTCAGGGAGGGATTTTGTCTGGGAGAAGATTGGGGACAAGGGAACTGGTTCAGTGGGGATCTGCGAATGTCTGCTTGAGGAGTCTCCTGATGGCTCCTATTCTCCCACTATCAGCATGTACCTTGTCAGGGGTTGCTATCTGATAGCTTACCTTCATACCTGACAGCTGGCCCTATGCTTGGACTGAGAGACCTTTCAACACTTCCAACTTCCTGAAAACTGCTTCTGCAGCATTTGATTACTTGGCACAGCCAGGAAGCACCTGCCTTCCCTTCTTCCCCACCCTCACAAACAAAGGGGTTGATGACCCTTAGTATTCAGACTTGTTAAGCATTGAGACTGATAGAGATAAGAGGCCCCCATCACCATAACCAGAGGAGCTGGTCTCAAAGGCCTGAGTGGATCTATCATGGTTTCAACTGCCTACTAGGTAGCAAAGTCAAACTGGCTGATTTCTGCCGTCTCTCTCCAGAAGAGGACAGGGGTCTAGCCACAGGGGGCCAGGCATAAGGTGTTCAGGAAGGCCTTGGACATAAGGAATGGGATCCCCACATGGTGAATCTGGATGTTGAGATGGGGACATAGCCTCGGGTCCCTGGGCAGGTGCTGTGGGATAGGGTAGCCCAAGGGTTCCTGTTCTGATCGCCATGATAGACTTATGGGATCAGCAAATATGATTCACTCCTTTGTGCTGCCTCCAAAGCACTGGGTGCTTCACTGACTGCCCCAGCTGGCCACTGACATCTCACAGGGCTTCTCCTCCAGCCTGATCCTCTGTCTTAGTGTGGACTGGGATCCTGTTTTTCAGACTCACTGTTGATTATTCTCAGATGTGATTCTCTACACCTGCTTCTCCATCTAAAGAGTGGGATAGTAGCAGGTTATGTGGGACAATCCTTACAATAGGAAACACTGGTCAGTGATGGGGGCCTTCCTTCCCTCTCAAGGTGTTGAGTGTTTTCCCGCATCAACCCTTAGTGTACCATCAAAGATGTCAAAGATGGTCTCACCCACCCAAACCAATTCTCCCTCCCATCAGACCTGCCCTTCTACAGAGCCTTGGGTGGGGTCTGGATGTTCCTCAGATGCTTGTACCATGGATCCTGGAATATCTCCGTAAAATGGGTGACACTGGAGAGGATGGGTGGAAGTGTGCAGGCCAAGCACTGAGCAGGGCTGCTCATGGACTGGGGGCTTGTGCTCCTAAGTCTGTCACCACAGGCTTTCCTGGGCATGCTGGTGACACCCCCGTTGACAGGGATGTGACTGCTCCCGTGACTCCTCTACCTGACTAGTAGCAGCCTCAGCAAGGATTCAGACTTCTATCTGCAAAATGAGGATTCTTCATTTCCTCTTTCTGCTGGACAAGCAGAGATGGAGACCCAAGTTCTGGATCCCAAGTATTCCCATCATGCACCTCCAGAACCTTCCCCTGGAGGGATGACAGGGACTCAAGGGTGGGGTGGGAGATCTAGCTTCTCCCCAAAACCAGGTTTCCCAGGTACCAACTTCCTGAACGGAAGCTGAGCCCCTGAGGCAGCTTCCCTTCTCTGAGCTTTCCAGGCCTTAGGAAATTGCTACATTTGTTTCCTCAGCCCTTTGTAACGGTTGAGATGAAAAACCCTTCTTCTTTCTGATTTGCAATCTCTTTGGGAAGCTCACTTGCTCTGATGTCAACTTTGATAATGCCCTTTCCCCAGCACAGCTTGATATGGTATCTTTTCAGATGAGACTGCATGGGAGGGGCCCTTGGGCAAGTATGTGTGTGAGTTCATGTGTGCCTGTAAGTATCTATGTATGTCTGCATGTGTGTGTATATTGACATGCATGTCTAAGTTTGAGTGCAGGTGTGCGTATGTGTGTGTGACTATGAGTGCATCTGTGTACATGTGTATGTGCTTATATCTGTGTGGATCTGCATGTGTCTGTCGATGTGCATGCATATGGGAGTGTAAATGCGTGTAAGCCATAGTGGGTGTGACCTTACTATACAGAACAATTACACTCAGCAGCTGGCTGGGTAGTTACCAAGTGAATATTGTTGTTGTTAAGTTCCATCGAGTCGGTTCCGTCCCATAGCGACCCTATATAGGGTTTCCGAGGAGCAGCTGGTGAGCTTGAACCACTGTCCTTGCAGTTCAAATGGCTTTGCAGTCTGGCGCATTAACCCACAGCGCCATGCCCATCAGAATAGTTATGAACAAATGCTACTCTACCTAGGAGTTGAATACTGTCTGATTTGAGTTTTATTTCTCCTCTGTTGCCTCTCTAAACACTGTTCTCCAACTCAAACCATAGAACCCTCACCACCTGGCTTCGTATCCTCATGATTTCTTTTCTTTCTTATGTGAACCCTACTCTCAACACAAGGACTCCTCTTCATTCACTGACCTTTTCCCACCCACAGGATCTCAGCACTTCCCCAATGTCCTCCAGTCCTCATTTATCCCATACAGGTGTGCCCCCACCCACCTGCACTAGGTCCCATATACACTGGTGCTTCTGGCCCTCTCCCATGCCCTTCTTCTCTGCCACCATAGCTCTCCAGGTCCCCTGGCCTGGCTCTGAGGGTTACTCTGAGGGGTTATTGACTGTAAGAGGTAGGATCCGCTTGCTGCAACACTTCCAAATAGTTCACTCATGTTTATACTCTGGGGGAATTTCAACCTCAAATCTCAACACCGATGCCCATCAGCCAATCAGCCATGCTCTTGCTCAGCAGCAGAACCTATTTCCGCAGGCAGGCTGTGTCAGGGCCCAGTGAAGGGCCACTGGCTTAGCTATTGTGTTTCATGATTTTTTTTCTCTGTGGGATGTATTTGGCCACATTGCTTATTTGATGTTGCATGTTATCACAATTATGACATCTGCATGTCACTCTGCCCTGGCTGGACAGCCGGCAAGTGGCAAAGCCAGGCTCACACTCAGGAAAGCCAAGGACCAGGGGACACATGTGCCCTCAAAAGGATAAGCCTCTTCCCCTATTTTCCTTAGAACTCAGAATACAGTCGGTGGGTGTGCCCCTAGGGGGAGCACTGGGTGATTTGTCTACAGTATGCCTAGCATTTACCTATCCAACCCATCCGCAGGCACACTCCACCGACTGGAAGCTCTAGGTCCACACCCTAACTGGAGACCTTCCTAAAGGTCCCCAGCACTTTGTTTTGTGCCTGGCCCAGGCGACAGCCAGCTCAGACTCACAGGAAAATCCTTTCAGATGACCTAGAAGGACATCTTGTTTTCTTCCCATTGAATGGCTTTGCAAGCTGGGGTTTTCCCTAGATTCCCAGACCCTACCTAAAACACTCCCAGGAGTAAGTTGTTGGAATCCAGGTACCTGTAAAACACTGGCCCTTTTCCAACTAAATAGAAGAGGAGCTCCCCAGCACAAACTCCCCATTTGAGACCGTCAGGGAATTTTATTTGCAATGGAGGGTGGGCAGGTAGCTCTTATCTAGAGGCATGGTTTTCACCCTGGGGCCAGCAAAGGCAAGGGAGATCCTCAATGAGATGGACTGGCATATTAGCCACAGCCATGAACTCAAACATGCTAGCAATTGTAAGGATGAAACAGAATCTAATAGCAGTGCATCCTCTTGTACTTGAGTCACCAAGCGTCAAAGTCAATGCTAAGACAGTTGTTTATCTATTTACTCTTAAAAAGTAGCTTTTCCCTGCTAATTTCTCTTGGACAATCATACTAAAAACAGATTTGACTTTGAAACTTTTCAAAAATTAAAAATGGCGCTTCCAGTATTTGTTTAGGCAAATGTGAGACAGCTGACGAAGTTTGGTTTGAAGCCTACATTTAAGAAATGTTGTTGTTTAATGCCGTCAAGTCATTTCTGACTCGCAGCGACCCTGTGCACAATAGAACAAAAAGCTACTGTGTGCCATCCTGGAAAGTGTTGCTTTTGTTTGAATCTATTGTAGTTGCCACTGTGCCAGTCCATTTCATTGAGGGTCTCTCTCTTTTTCACTGACCCTTCACTTTTCTAACCATGATGTTGTTCTCCTGGGACTGATCCTCCTGACAATATGTCCAAAGTATAAAGACAAATCTCACTCTCTTTGCTTCTAAGCAGGATTCTGGCTGTACTTCTTCTAAGACAGATTTGTATGTTCTAGAGTCCATGGTATTTTCAATATTCCTCCCTAACACCATACTTCAAATACATCGATTCTTCTATAGTCTTCCTTATTCATTGTTCAACTTTCACAGGCATATGAGGCAACTGAAAAATACCATGGCTTGCATCAGGTACACTTTTGTTTTCAAAGTAAGTTTGTTGCTTCTTAACACTTTAAGGAGGTCTTTTGTAGCAGTGTGCTAAATACATCATTTGATTTCTTGACTGCTGCTTCCATGACCATAGATTGTGGAATCGAAGCAACATGCAGTCTTTGACAGTTTTGATCTTTTTTCTGTGTATCATGATGTTATTTATTGGTCCAGTTGGGAGGGTTTTCATTTTCTTTACATTGAGGTTCAATCCATACTGAAGGCAATAGTCTTTGCTGTTCATCATTAAGTATTTCAAGTCCTCTTTACTGCCAACAAGCAATGGTGTATCATCTAAATATAGCAAGTTATTAATGAATCTTTCTCCAATCCTAATGTCACATTCTTCATCATATATTCCATGTACTTAGATTGCTGTTGAGTTTTCAGTATACAAGCTGAACAAGTATGGTGAAAGGATATAACCCTGGCACACACCTTACTTTAAACCATTCAGTACCTCCTCGTTCTACTCTAAAAATTGCCTCTTAGTCTATGTACAGCTCCCCAGGAGCACATTTAAGCGTTCTGGAATTGCCATTCTTTGCAGTGAGAAACTAACATCAATATTGTTCTTCATGTCTCTGTAACTTTATGAAAATTATTTAAGAATATGTTGTATCTAGAAGCAGATACAATATGCAGGGGT